CTGCTACCCAAGCAGATATATGCACACCCATGTTTATCTAGGCTTTGTTCACAATAGCAAAGAGCTGGAAAAAACCAATAGACAAGCTGTAGTATATTCACACAATGGAATACTACGCTGCATTGAAAATCAAGGAACTCATGAAATATTATACAAAATGGGTGACCCTGGAGGACATTATGCTGAGCAAAATATGTCATAAAAGGACAAATATTGCGTAGTGCCACTATTGTAAAACAGGACTGACATCAGCGTTGGGGGGAGACTGAGAAAGATGTGATAAATTATGTATACTGCATTGAAACAGATGAGAGAGACTGTTTAAAAGGGATATATGATTAGGTATTGTCATGACAGGAGTCCAGAATGAAGGATACATAGTGGAGTGGACTTGGAGGAAGGGATTGTGTAACAATGAAAGAATTTTACTTTTCAAAGAGAAGAACGAACTTGGGGGGGGGGGTTGGGCAGGGAGAAAAGTACATCAATGAGTGAATGGAAACCCTAAGTCTCTGTAAACTTTCATTAAAATTAGTAATAATAAAACAAATATAAAAAACCCAAAAAACTCCCTATGGAGCAGTTTTAGTGACACACCTGTAGTCATGAGTCAGAATAAATTTGGTGGCAACTAGTGAAGGGAGATTAACAGTTAAATTCAATGTGTGAAATAAAACAATTCCAAGGACATGGGTAAAATTGGAATAAGATCTGCAGAACCACAGTACAATGTAGAATAGCAGCAAATAGTATTATATTACAGACTTTTGAGTCAATCTGTAGTCCTATTAAAATCTCTACATTTGGTGGACAAAGGGAAGTGCATAAAGAATTAAAAATTTTTTAAAAATCTATTTCCTTACTTACTGTTAAGTCTGAGACCAGAACAAACAGATGATGCCTACCTACCAGTGCTCTCAAAGGATCTTAAAAGAATTTTACTCCCAGGGAACTCTGGTGGCCTAGAGGTAGGAAGCTGCATGCAATTCCAGAGGTAAGCAGTTTGAATACACCAGATACTCTGCTGGAGGAGGGACAATCGCCTCCTGGCCCAGTCAGATCAGATTTGATGGTACACACACGAAAATTTTGTTTTCTTTTAAAAAAAAAAATTCACTTTGGCAGCACACATACTAAAATTGGAATAATAGAGAAGATTAACTTGTGCAAGCATGACAAATTTGTTAAAAGTTCCATGTTTTTTTAAAAAAAGGGTCTTCGATAGAGTAAAAGAAAAATCTGGAAATCTGAAACAAATTACGAAAGTAGTAAAACAAAGTAATAAAAAAGATCAAGCCTACTGGTCCATCAGACTATATATGGCCCTAGTCACCCTTCACACCGAGAATGGATATCAATCTTCCACAACTGAAATTTTAGGCAATCAACAGTCAGGTTTATTAGGTTTTTAACAACACCAGGGAAGTACTCCTTAAAAACAAATTTAAAAAAACCCCAAACCACCACCACCAACAAAAAACATATAAGGGAGTACAGCAGTGACCACAGTGGTACAGGCAGCAGTTTATCAGTGTGCAGCCCTAAACTGGGAAGATGCTAATTAAACTGAAGACCCTGACTGGAAAGGAGATTGACATTGACATTGAACCCACAGACAAGGTGGAGTGAATCAGGGAGCATGTGGAGGAAAAAAGAGGGCATCCCCTCACAGCAGCATCAACTCATCTACAGTGGCAAACAGATGATGAGAAAATAGCAGCTGATTACAAGATTCTTCTGTCCTCCTTGTATTGGCTCTAGGAGGAAGTAGCCTTAAGGCAGTGAAGGACCCTCCCTCCATTTTACTCTTTACCCTGTCAATTACAATGAGGGATCATATTACCTCTCCTCCAGGAGCCCAGAGCCACTGTCCCCTTCCACTGGATGCCTAGTTTTGTGTGTCTACAGGTGGGAGACTAAGAGGACCCCAGGATGCAATGTGCCTGGCCCAAAAGGTTCTTGTTAACTGATGGGTTTTAATTATTGTCCTGTGTGCTCCCCTCTCATGGCTGTCCCTAGTTTTCAACAAAGTATTTCCTGGAAAAAACAAAACAATCAACAAGAACAAAAAGGCAGGATTTTCCCAGGATAAAGCTCAGAAAAGTGAAGCCCTCAAGATGGGTGAACAGTGATTGCAACAGTCATAAGCACAGCCAATTGTAAGGAGGGTGCAGGACTTGGCAGGATTGCCTTCTGTGGTGCACAGATTCCATTACACAGAAGGAAACAGCTATTACCATATGAGAACTGTAATCAGTAGCACAAAACACTGCCTATGAACTGAATGGAAAACCCATTTACTTCTTAAATTTTAAATCAAAGTACTATCAAAATGTCAAAGAAACCAAAATTATTCTGATCAGGAAAATAGCTTGAACAATCTCTCCATATCAAGCTAACTCGAAGTTATAGCACATACTAAACTGTAACACTTGTCTTGTAATTCAGCCTTTATAATCAAATGAGAAAGGAATCTTAGTTCTTAAATGTAATGAGTTAAAAAAAACACATACTCATGGGCTAGTGAGTGTGAAGTGCCCCATAGTTAACCCTCCAGAGGGTTTTTGGAGGTTGTGAATCACATGGGAAGAAACTGCCTCCGAGCCACTGGTCGATTTATATTGTCAAAGCAGCACTATCTTTAGGGTAGCTTAACTCTCTATGAATCAGAGCTCCTTGCAGTAGCAAAGAAAAGCAATGGAAATGAAGAAAATGCAACCAATGTGACCTTTGGCTTTATGATAAACAAGAAAAGTTTGGGTGTCTACAATGTGTTGAGAGAAGAATGCACAGCATGCAGGATAAATCAAGTCAGTAGAGTAACAATAGTAAAAACTAATCCGAGAAAATGGATTATCAGTATTTAATTATTAATATTTCATCAACAGGGAACAAGTAAAGGTACAGGCAGAAAAGCCCCTTTAATATCTGATGAAAGCTATCAAGGATTCCATTTCCCATCCCCCACCCTCACTTCTTTATGGTCTTAAATGTAAGGGAGTATGTTTTAAGATTGAAGTATATATATTCAAAGGTATATATGCCTCTACAGGGTTTCCTACAACATAGCATAGCGATTTCTTTGGCAACAGATGAGAAGGAATATGTGCATCTGTTTGATCTTTTATGTCTTTTCCAAACTGAAATACTGTAATGCTAACGAACTGCTGCCATGTTAGGCAGATTCTAATAACTAAGACTTTCAAATCCTCCATTAGTTTAGCTAATATTGAAGAAAGCAACAACTGACATTTGTTAATTTTCTGGCAAAACAAATATAACAAACAAGAAACAAGTTATAATAAGTAGGATAGAAAATAAGAACAGTATTGATTTGACAATTTATTGGTATTTTAGTAAAGACATTCATCTCAGTCGTTTCTCTCTCCTATCTTGACCACAGGTAAATTATTTCATTTAGGTCAAGAAAAGAATACATAGGAGAGGGTAATTCTTATAAACAATAAAATGAACAAAAATGAAAAGGTTGCCTACATTAAAGGAAGTTAAGAAAGTTAAATTCATGTGTCTTCATATATAATTAAATCATGTTAAGAACAAGTAGTTCTATATACATTTCCATCGTTTTACTTGGGACTGATTCTAAACTTAAAAGCAAGTGAACAAAGTATTAGGAATATACAACAGTCAAGATGCTTCTCTGGAGCTATTATTTACTAAAAGAACTCTGCTAACAGTTAAAATTACCACCAATAAAACAGTCTGAAGTGTCTTCCAAATTTAACATTGTAGGACTTTTGCAAGAACTCCATTGCATTTTGTTTCTGACTAGGCTTTTAAAAATGTGTTCAACTGTCACATTAATTAAAAAAAAAAATTAATATACAATACAAAAATACAAAAAAAAACCCACCCAAAGACCAATCGAAACCAAAATCATTCCAAACTCCACAATACAGAGAACAAAGTATGTATGCTCAGAGGTAACAAAGTATTTGAAGATGCATTTTCTTTCCTTCTATTTTCAGTTCTCTAAAATGTGCTTTTGAGAAGTCACTGATCAATATACTTAAACCATAATCACTGGTTTTACTAGTAAGAACTCCTGCAATAAGGCCAGTTCATTTAAGATTTCACAAATTTGTAACTTAAATTAGGCTTTGACAAAATACAGAAAGTGCGTCTTCTCATCTTTATACAACTTCTTTTGTGGGCATTCATAACCTTTTTTTTTTTTTAAAAAAAAAAAAACCAGCCAAAAACTTAAGCAATATGTACATATAATTCTTTTGGTGGTGGTTTGTATTTTAAAAGAAACAGCTTCCTCAAGTTCTGGTGGAAATACTTTCAGGAACTAGTTAATAACAAAACCAAGAGAAGCATTTTCAAAATACTGATTTACTTTGGTAGCAAATGGTTGTTCTTTGAAGACTGACAAGACCCAATAAAGGTGAATTAATTAAGCTATTTCAATATCTAAGAGTTTACATAAAGTAAAAAAAAAAAAAAGATTACTTTTAAAAGAGCTAAGCATTTCTATCCAATGATATCAACACAAAAAATACTCTGACTTAAAACAAATGCCCATTATGTAAGGAAGAAGAAGAACAACAACAAAAGGCTGTATTTCATGTTATCTAAATTTACTTTCAGTCAATAGTGCAGTAACATTGTTCCTCCCAATATAATACTCCCTTTTCTATAAGGCTGTTCCTGGGAGCCAAACAGTTTATATAATGAGAGAGTTAATTTACAGAGTAATTTCTTGCAGTTTGAACCAGTTTAAATAGACAGTAACTTTTTGCTTCCCTCTTAATGTGCTAATAATAGCTGTGACTAAAAAAATAGGCAATTCTTAGAAAGGTACCATTTCGGATTTCTTTATTATCTGTAACCTTTGGAAACTAATCACATGAAACTACAAAATTAGCAAATGTCTTGAATCTGTATATAAAACATAAAGTACCTCTAATTTCCAACTCTCATTTATTAGTGTACCACTCAATCTTTAATTAAAGGAAAGGGAAAAAAAATGGGCTCCAAAGATAGTCTTATTCCAATCTTTAAAAAAAGGAAACTGTTCCTTTTAACTTTACACCCACCCTACACCCCAATCGTAAAACACATTATTATTTAATTGTCTGGGTCATGAACATTTCCAAGATGAGATTTTATATTTCGCTCCCATAGCTTCTGGTTATCAGAAAACCCATGCTTTCCTTTGTTGAAAGAGTTTGGTCCTGCAGATGTTGGTGTGTCCCTGTTTTTTTTAAAAAGTAGGAAGAAAAAAAAAAGTAGTTAGTGTCAAATTTAAATACAGCTTTCTGGGCTATGTTTTGAACTCATTCAGTGAAATTTTGCTTGTTGTTATTGTTGTTGTTGTTATGTGCCGTCGAGTCGCCTGCGACTCATAGCGACCCTATGTACAACAGCCCTAAACTCCGCTCTGTCCTGTGCCAATCGCACTGTCTCTGACACTCCCATCCCAATTATCCCAGTCACTGAATCAATCCACCTCATAGAGGGCCTTCCTCTCCTGCGCTGTCCCTCCACCCTCCCAAGCATGATGTCCCTCTCCAAGGACCGGTCTCTCCTCACTACATGTCCAAAGTAAGTTAGACGGAGCCTCAGAATCCTTGCCTCCAAGGAGCCACCCGGCTTAACCCTCCCCAGGACAAATCTATCTGTTTTCCTAGCAGTCCATGGTATGTATTCTCAGTACTCTTCTCCAGCACCACAGCTCAAAGGCATCAGTTCTTCTATCCTCCTTGGTCATTGTCCAACTCTCTGATGCATAACAGGTGATTGCGAAGACTATGGCCTGTATCAGACGCACCTTAGTCTCCAGAGAGACACCACTGCTCTTCAGCACTTTGGAGAGGTCCCTAACAGCAGACTTTCCCATGGCAATGCGCCTTTTAATTTCCTGGCTGCTGGTGCCAAGGCTGTTGACTGTGGAGCCAAGCAAACTAAAGCTGTGTACAATCTCAATCTCTTCACCATCCATCCTGATGCTGCCGATTGGTCCAGTGGTGAGAATCTTTGTCTTCTTGACATTGAGCCTCAATCCATATTGTAGGCTGCAGTCCTTGACACTCTGCAGCAGGTGCTTCAGGTCCTCCTCAGTTTCAGCAAGCAGGGTTGTGTCATCCGCATAACGCAGACTGAGGATTATTGATCACAAAAGAATTTAAAAAAATAACCTCTCATGTGCAACAATGGATGAATGGAAATACAAGTTTTCTTTCATTAAAATATCAATAGTAAACTTTTTTTTTCCAAAAAATAGAAAGAAAGCTGGTTTTAAAATTACAGATGCCTGAGGTGGAGACAGGTAAATCTGTAGTTCTAACATTTAAGGTAGATTCTGATGTACAGCTAATAGTGAAAACAACTACAAATTCTTGGTTATTTAAAATCCATTAATAAGGTCATGAAATCAATTTGATGGCTTGTCATCCACACGGTTGGGTTTTGTTTTGTTTTTTTTTTTTTTTTCTCTTAAAAAAGAACTAGAAAACCACCATGAAAATGTATCACTTTTGTTGATGTGTAGTGTCTTGCAAAGATTAAAGGCTCAGCGAAGGAGAGAAAGGCCCCCAATGAGAAGGACTAACATGATGATTTCAACAATGGGTTCAAGTGTGTCAGAGATAGGGCCACGGTTCAGGTTGGCTGTTCACAGGGTTGTTATGAATCATACTTGACTCTATGGCACCTAAGAACAATAACGACTATCAAATCAGAATCTACTCACAGCTTATCTTCTAGCAGTTTTTTGGAGGCAGTAAATTGTGTGGGAGGAGAATGTGCACCTTTCACCAGCTGGTGGATTTGCACTGTTTGCCTTTGGTTTGTCAGCAAAATTTCTTACCACTAGCCAACAAAAACTTCTTTTATCACTTATATAGTATGCTCAACATAAATTTTATGAGCATTTGTTCAATTTTTGGTTAAATATAGGCAAGGGAGTTCTGGCAGTATGGTCTGTAGGGAACTGTTCTGTAAAATGCCACATCTCTGTCAGTTCAAATTCATGAGCTGTTCCATGGGAACAGGCAATCTCCTCTCGCTGAGGGGTAGGTTACAAATCTATTCCAACAGCAATAAGTAAAATACAGGTACTATGTAGTCTACGTGTTCAGATCAGGTTATAAGGTCAAATAGGTTTCTTATTTTAATTCCTAGTACAAACGTAAGAGGAAGCCACAGGCACCCAGTGGGATATTCTCAACTCAGTTCCAGAATTAGAAGTGCAAACTGATGGCTTGTTTATGGACTTAGTAAGCAGTCATTAGGGAAGGCTCATACATCTGGTTTAAAGTTCAAGTTTCTAACTGGCCTCTAAGTTATCTATGTATGCATATAAATACAGATCACTATCATGCTAATGTGAAGTCAATGCTATTTCAATAACAAGGGGAATTATCTTTCTCTGTTCTTCTGGCATTTGGAATCTGTAGTACCAAAGAGGTATATACAGGATCAAGAATAAATGAAGGGAATGACACCTTATGTGAAGGGACTAAATGTAGAAAAGTGTCAATGTCGTTAGTTACGTGCTGTGAAACTAAGTACAACTCATAGTAAGCCTATGACCAAGAGATCTGAACCCTGTCCTAGCCTGTGCCAATATCATCTCTGACATACTTAAACCGTTTGCTGTTGTTACTGTGTTACTTCATCCCATTGAGGGTCTGCCTTTCACTTGCTGACCCTCCACTTTTCAAAGCATTAGGACTCTTTCCAAGGAAAAGCCCCTCCTAACAACATGCCCAAAATACATAAGATGAAGCCTCACCATCCTTGCCTCCAAGAAGTAATATGGCCTCACTTTCTTCAAGAGAGATTTATTTGGTCTTTTGTCAGTCTGTGGGACATTCAGAACTCTTCTCCAACACCGCAACTCAAAAGCATCGATTCTTTTTCTGTCATCCTTATTCACTGTCCAGCTCTATTTATGTTGCACAGCAAGTAATGGAAAAGACCACAGCCTGAATCAGGTGCACCTTAGTCTTTAAACTGACAGCACTGCACCTCAGTACTTTGGAGGAGTCCCTGCCAGCAGTTTCCTAATACAACATGTCTTTTGATTTCTTGATTGCTGATGCCAAGAGCTGATTGTGGATCCCAGTAAGATGACATCTTACTGGGCTGTCATTAGTAATTTAAAAGAAATATTTCTGGTAACAATTTCTTTGAAGAACACAGGCTTTAGGCATCTGCAAAGAATCAACCTTAATCTATTTTCCTTATATATGCAATTTTTCCTACCAGAGAGAATGAGATCACTATTACAGACAGCTCACAAAACATTGTACTATTATTCTTTTCCCTCATAAGGATTAGTCCAAATCTTAATTATCTTCGAAATCTTAAACATGTAGCACATAAAGTATTGAGAACTATTTTGTCAAAATATCTTGAGAAAATGCTGACTATTAAATGATGGTATTTTGAAACTCTTTCTCACATACAAGGCACATGGCCTTGGAGAAGGACATCATGCTCGAAGGGTGGAAGGACAGCTCAGGAGAAAAATACCCTGGATGAGATAGATTATATTACAGTAACTGGGGTAACGGGATCAGGTGTGTTGGGGTCAGTGAGACTGGTTAGGGATAGAGCAGGCTTCAAAACTGCTGTATATAGGGTCACTATGGGTCACAGGCAACTGGATGGCAAAGCACAACAACATGCTTGTTCTTAGTCTATTTCTGTGATTTTCTAAGTGTTCAAAAAGAAACATTTCTGGTAACAATTTCTTTGAAGAAATGAAGATTTTCATGCATCTGCAAAGAAACAGCCTTAAGCTATTCTACTATGTTCCTTATATGCTCAACTTTTCTTACGAGGAGAGAAAAACACGATCACTACAACACTACCACTTTATGTAATACTAAAATTATGAAAAATTATAATACCTTCCAATATTCTTCATCCTCATTTTTGCTTCTGGGGGCATTTCCTCAGGTTCGCTCTGAAGAAAAGAAATTAATAATGTGTGACACAATGTTAAATGCCTAAATTACAAGTCTTAATAATAATACTACTACAGTAAGTATAATTATTCTTAGTTTATAAATGAGGTAATACAGTAAAATTAACTTGCCCATGGTCATTAAACTAATTAGCAGTCTGATGACAATATAAAGGCTCTTATAATCACTTACTTTACTGCCCATATTCAAAAGTGCCTACTTCAAGATAAGGATAGTTTGAAAGCTCATTCCTTACTACTTTCCCAATTTAATTGCTAAAAATACATTTGAAAGATCAAATGACTATGTTTTTAATACGTAAATATGGCTGCAGAGCTAAACACACACACACAAAAATGCAATGGCAGAGTCAAAATCAATGAATCTGTTATTTTTAAAATGTGTCCTGGAAACAGCATCTGAAAGAGGGCTGCTTCTGGTTAAATGTGAAATAGTTTAGAGTACTACAGGTAAAAAAATAATTTTACCTTACTGGGGGGAATAAAAATAAGAATCTAGGTCTTTCTTACAATAAAAGCCACTGAATACGTTTAAAAGGGATGACAAAATAAGAATCACTGTGGTAACCATCATCATAGTAACTGACTAAAACAAAAATTATCAATGGATGCTGTAACATTAGTGAATGTTTAATGAGGAAAAAAAATGACAGCATGTGTGCTCCTTCACGTGGTGCACTAAAAGCCTGGCGGCATCAGGTCTGGGATATTATTGCCAAAAGCCAGAAATATGCTAGTAGTAATAAGGAAATGTAGACAAACTCAAGCTGAGAAATATTTTACAAAATAATCAGTCTGAAAAATTTTCTCAGATTAGAGAAGCCTGGCCTGGTCGTTAGGAAGGGGAGTTGACTCCCAATCTAGAGGTGGGTGGTTTGAATCCACCAGTGGTTTTGAGAGTGATAAAAGTGACAATCTCCTCCCATCCCATTTACAGCCTCAGAAAACCCAATGAGTTTTGAGTTCAAGTAAAGAGATGCAACAGCTAAAAAAAGTAAAATAAAACAAAAACCATTTTAAATGCTTAAAAGCTGTTAACTCTCTGGTGGTTTGAATCTACTAGTGGTTTCATGGGAGGAAAAAAAGGCAATCTCCTCTTGTGGGAGTTACCACTTTGGAAATCTGCTGTAGGGTCAGCTATGAATAATGGGTTCCAATCTGGTCAAGAGTTTTGAGTTGTTTTGTTCTCCACCCCACCATCTTGGAGCCCATTAAGGCCTCCGGGGAATAGGACTTATAAATCATGAAGATGCCTGGGAGGCTGTGGTACAAAACCACTTTTGGCTACAAAGGAGGTCTCCAGAAACAGAGGGAGCACAAGTCTCTTCTTAAAATTAAAGGTGCTTATGCCCAAGATGAAACAGAATTCTATTTAGGTAAGAGATGTGCTCATGTTTACAAAGCAAAAAATAATCCAGTGACTCCTGGTGGCAAATCTAACAAAGCCAGAGTAATCTGGGTAAAGGAAACTCGTGCCTCTGGAAATAGTGGCAGAGATCAGGCCAACTTTCAGAGTAACCTTCCTGCTAAGGCCATTGGACACAGAATCTGGGTAATGCTGTATCCCTCTAGGATTTAAACTTACTGAAAAGTAAATAAATACATTGATCGATTTGTTAAAAATTGTTTTTTTGAATAAAAATAAATTTTTTTTAAAAATTAAGAATTTTTAAAAGCAGTTATTTAACAAAGTGGTCTGGTTGTCCAATGTTTTCAGGATCAAATTATATCAAAGGTTAGTTAACTATGGTCTATACAACAATTAAAAGCCAATGAAAATTTCAGATGCATGGGATCTTTTACTTATGAGATAATTTGTCTTCTGTAGTCCTTTAGTCCAACTGCTAACTCCCTTGTCCAGTCGCTAACTGAAAAGCTGGAGGTTTGAGCCCACCCAGATGCACCTCAAAAGAAAGGCCTGGTGATTAACTTTGGAAAAATGAGTCACTGCAAGCCCTATTGAATACAGTTCTACTCTGACACACATGGAGTCACCCTGAAACACAATCTAATCTAGAGTAAGTGGTAAGAAGCAAGTGTCTTTTAGTTTACCCTTTATTTCCATTAACCTTATAGCAAAAGAATGTAGTTCGAAACTGTCTAGAGTTTCTTTTAAAAGAAAAATGTACCACAACAAGATCAAGGTAAACAATCCAACTGAAAAATGGCCACAGGATATGAACAGACACTTCACCAAAGAGGACATTCAGATCTCCAGCTCTAAGAGAGTTGCATGCACACCCATGTTTATTGTGGTTTTGTTCACAATAGCAAGGAGGTGGAAACAACCTAAGTGCCCATCAACAAATGAATGGACAGAGAAGCTCTGGTATATTCACACAATGGAATACTATGCAGTATTGAAAAACAAGGAATTAATGAAATATACAAAAATGGGTGACGCTGGAGGACATTACATTGTGCTGAGTGAAATAGCTCAGTCACAAAAAGACAAATACCGCATAGGGCCACTGTTGTAAAATAAGACTGACATTGGGGTTGGGGGGAATCTAAGAAAAGAGGGGATAAATAATGTATATTGCATTGAAACAGTTGAGGGAAAAAACTTTTTAAAAGGAATATATGATTAGGTATTATTTTCATGACAAGAGTCCAGAATAAGAGCTGCACAGTAAAATGTACTGGGGAAGGGGGGGAACTGTATAACCATGAAAGAATTTTTTTTTCTTTTCAAAGAGAAAAGTGAACTGGGGGGAGGTGGGCAGGAAGGAAAATGTGCAACAATGTATGAATGGAAATCCAAAGTCTTTGTAAACTTTCATTACAATTTCAAATTAAAATAGTAAGCTATGATGCAAAAAGGATACACCAAACTACCAGAAGATCTATTTTTTAGCATTATGTATCAGCACATAGTACAGTTCATTACTAAGTTGTTTTTTTTTTCATTACTAAGTTTTTTATGTGCAAAATAAAATAATCATTACATATGGATATATGGAAAGGAAGTCATGTGAGAAGTTAAGTCATTCAAATAAAGCTATTATTATTATGTATGTGCTTAAAATTTCTAGCCTCCGCACTTATCTGTTTATTGTTGCCTTCTTACAATATTATCATACAATCTATTAATACCAATACACTTCCTAATCTCTTAATAACGTTAGCAACGTCAGGAAATTAAAGTGGAGTGATCCACTTATCAGGCATCACTCTTTCATATCGAGAAATTCCCAAGACCTCAGAATTTTGAGAAATACAGGCATACCTTAAACATACTGCTGGCTTGAATCTAAGCAGAGCATTGCAATAAAACAAGTCACATGAATATTTTGGTTTCCCAGTGCTTGTAAAGGAGCCGTGGCAACAGTGTGTAATAAATATATTGAGCTGCTAACCTAGTCTGGCAGTTCAAATCCACCAATGACTACAAGGAAGAAAGATAGGCAGTTTCTTCTCATTAAGATTTAGTCTTGGAAACCCAATAGAAGGCTGTCAGGAGTCAGAATCAACTCAAAGTCAGTACTTTTGTTTTTCATTTTTAGTGCATATAAAGCTATGTTTATATTATACTCTAATTATGTATGCAGTAGAATGCAAAATTGTAAATATTTTGAGAATTACCAAAATGTGACAAAAGACATGAAGTGAGCACATACATGCTCTGTGGAAAAACGGTGCCAAAAGATTTGCTCCCATCCAGGTTGCCACAACTCACTTTATAAATCAAAATGTAATAAAGCAAGTGTCAAAATCTATGATCTAAATGGAACCTTTTTTTATTATTAATTTTAATGAAAGTTTAGAGAGACTTAGGGTTTCCAGTCATTCACTGTTGCACTTTGCTCCTTACCTATCCCCTTCCCAATTCACTCTTCTCCTTGAAAAGAAAAACTCATTGTTATGCAATCCCTCCCCTTAAGTTCATTCCACTATGCAGTCTTCACTCTGGACCTCTGTAATGAAAAGAATACCCATTCATCTATCTCTTTTAAACAGTTCTCTCCCTCATGTTTCAAAGCAATATGTATCATTCCTCCCTTCCTTTTGTCTTCCCTCTACCCTGATGTCAGTCCTGTTTAACAGTAGCCCTATGAAATATTTGCCCTTTTATGACTGAGATATTTCACTCAGCATAATATCCTCCAGGATCACCCATCCTGAATAGTATTTCATGAGTTCCTTGTTTTTCAATGCTGCATAGTATTCCAGTGTGTGAATATACCACAGCTTCTCTGTCCATTCGTTTGTTGATGGGCACTTAGGTTGTTTCCAGCTCTTTGCTATTGCAAACAAAGCCACAATAAACATGGGTGTGCATATATCTGCTTGGGTGGCAGTTATGGTTTCTTTTGGGTACCTTGCCAGTAGTGGAATTGCTGGATCAAATGGTATTTCTATTTGCAACTTTTTGAGAAAGGGTCATACAGCCTTCCATAGTGGTTGCACCATTTTACACTCACCAACAGTGAATAAGGGTTCCGGTTTTCCCACAACCTAGCCAGCATTTGATGTTTGCTGTTCTCTTAAATTCTGCTCTTCTTACTAGGTGAGATGATATCTCATAATTGTTTTACTAGACCTTCATTTTACAGTGAAGAAACTAAGGCTTAGAGGGGAGGGGATGAAGGTTAATTTTATAACAATGAATGAATATTAAAAAAAAGTGAACTGGGGAAGGGGGACAGAGAGACTGGAGGTTAAATGTGCAACAATGAATGAATGAAAATCTAACTTTTCTGTAAACTTTTGTTAAAATCACAAGTAAAATAAAAAAATTAAAAAACAAAAAAAATTTAAAAACTGGGGCGCTCTGGTGGCCTAGTGGCAAGGAGCTGCAACTACAATCTCAGAGGCACACAGTTCGAATCCACCAGATGCTCTGCCGGGGAAGGAGGGACAATCTCCTCCTGTACCAGTCAGATCTGATTTGACGGTACACTCACACAAAAATAATA